GGTTATATATCGATAACAAAGGAGTATTTGGGCGAGGACTGGGTCAAGTGGTGGAAAAATCCGAAAAACGTTGAACTTTATCATTTTATTGGCAAAGTGATTTTTTATAATAATTTTTTTTTCACTTACTTTAATGTTTTGATCAGTTGCAGTTCGTAGTCGTAGTCTGATTTTTAGTTATGATTGGCAGCTTTTCCAGCTGCTTTGACCAGTTTCGGACTAGCTATGCTCAGCTCATTGGCGATCTTGACGTTCGTTTCATCCCCCCAAAGAATTACTATTTCAGCAGTTCCCCCAAACGGAGCATGTGGCAAAGCTTTAATCGTTGTGAGATATCGGTAGTGTACGTATTCCACCAGTTCATCTCGGACGTAATATTCTTTGTCGATTGGGAGAAATTTGGGATGTTATATTTTTTTAAATCGCTTCTGCTTCCGTGTTTTTCAACGAGAATCGAACGGTTGGGGCTCGTTCAGGCAGATTACCGAGAAAAAAGTATGCATAAATGCACCAAAACTTTTCTGCACCTTTATGTAATCTATAATTTTGTTCAAGGATAACGTGGCTTTTCATGCTGTTATGTTTCCTGCAGTGCTGCTTGCTACGCAGGAAAATTATACATTGGTTAATCGACTCAGCGCTACGGAATATCTCAATTACGAGAACACAAAATTTAGCAAGTAAAAAAAGTTTTTCTCAATGGATTTTATCGGATGTAATAGGTTGAGAAGCATTTACGTGGATAACGCGGCTGATTTAAAAAAAAAGTAACGTAGGTAACATGACTCTTCACATGAGAAGGAAATACATACGGAAGTGGAAAGGGATAAAGAACTTAACATAAGCTTGAGAAAAAGAATCATTTCGTATCACTTTTCTACTTTATACCACAAATACGTGTATTTGATATATTAATGGAAATGGGAAGATGCCAGAATTATCAAAATTTTAAAAGTCGTTAAGAATATCCCATGTAAATATAATGCCACTGAGTTTTTGCTCCTAGACGCCGTTCTGATCTATGCCAGGGACGCTTCTACCTCGAGCTAGTACCCACCACCTGCTCGTTGCATGCGCATCATCTCTTCAGGGGAGGGGAAGTCCGTGGGTACCACTTATAAATGCGTGACATTTAGCGATTTCTGGCACAGCAATGATGCATAAAGGCAATAAAAGAGTGAAGGGAAATCGGTCCGGGAATTAGCGAATGAGGCTAAGTGAGGCTATTGTAAAATGATAAGAATAATTTGTGACTTTTCTCCTTGGGCATAATCTCCTGGAATATCTTTTCAACCCTTTCTAGCACGCTTTGCGCTTTTTCCTTCGTATTTACATGAGTTGTCAAAACAAGGTACTCCAGAGCAATGCTGGTGGGTTTTTTCACGCTCCGTGTTGTCAGTCGGAGGGAGGGAGGGGGATTAAAATCTCGAGGGAATTTAAAATCTGCTCATCGTCATCTCAAGTCTTCCGATGGTTCTAATTTCAGGTCACGTGGGACAGGTGTGTTCGGTGATATGGCCTCTAAAACTGGCATAGACGCTGATTTGTGGCGATTTTACTTGCTGTATGTGCGACCCGAAACACAGGATACATCATTCGCTTGGGACGATTTTGCCTTGAAGGTACCATCAGTTGCTTCTTACCAGTCTTTTTCTCTGAGTATTCAGCCACAGGTTGATAAAGAGGGCATGAATATTGCTGCATCATTCAACGTATTCTTGGATTTTGTTTTGAGACTATCACAGATTTATGGTCTGTTCAAGGTCTTCTTGGAGGGGGAGGGTGAAATAGGGTCATCATTCTCTAGGCATTGCATGTAAAAGTTTCTTGCGTCATAATGCATAATTTATACCATAATTCTTATAAAATGTCCAGGGACGCTACTCTTGAAGCATTATTCCTGAAAAGTCCTTTTTTTGCAGGTAAATGCGGAACTGCTAAATAATTTGGGAAATTTCGTGAATCGTGCTCTGAGTTTCCTGGTGAAGTATTTCGATTCGGTGGTGCCCGAGATGTATCTTGATGAGCAGGCGAACACAATGCTTGCTGAAATCGCAGCAGTTCTCAGTGAGTACGACTCATCTTTTAGCGAACTGAGACTTCGCGATGGTATTGTCAAAGTACTTGCTGTCTCACGACATGGAAATCTGTACATTCAGTCAACGCAGCCCTGGGTTCTTATCAAAGGGAACGAGAATGAAAGGTTTTTTTTTTTTTTTCACTAACTCACTTCTGGAAGTATTTAACATATTTCATTTATCACGAAATTTTTGAATTTTTATCACTGTAGTGTATTCGCTCAGTTATTCCTTGGATTTTCCTTTAATAACATAATAGAATTTTTTCTAAAATGTTTACATCAGATAGCGTATTACGGCGAAGTCGCGGTTTCTAATGTGTGTGTGTTTATGTATGTGTATGTGTCTGGTAGGACGTGAGGAGAGATTAAATGCAAGTATTAGGAAGCTGAAATTTTAGGAGCATCGTTCTACTACTGCTTTGTGCAAAAAGCTAGGGCGGCTTTCACGTCCTCCTGCTTTCCCATATGTAAAATCACTTATATTATTTCCCAGCTCGTTAAGAAGGTGCTGTCGTGCTGTGCAACATTGCCCATCACACGTTTCTTTTAGGACCCTAGAAAAGGGCATGAGAGATGTAATATTTGCACACTGGCACTACGCTCTGTTGCTAGAAATTGCTGTTTTATAATTTTACGTTTGTCCGCCCACAGAAGACCCTGAGATGGAAATCCGAGCGAGCGTTGGGAGAGAGGGGAGAAGAGTGGAGAGAGACGGGGGAGAGGGGGGGGGGGGGGGGGGGGGGGGGGGGGGGGG